GGGGGGGGGTCAGGGTCCCAGTTTACGGAGGGGAGTGACCCAGCTTTCACTCCTTGTGCACCCGTCTGTGATGCCTTTCCTTTAATTCCATTCCACTCCTCAAGCTGTTTTTTTCAGTTTAGGAACTCTGTTTACTCGACATGGTCAATTGCGTGGCGACTCCCCACCCTTTCCCATATGTAATTTTGGATCTATGCTCCCCTCCCCCCACTGCTTTTTTTATAAGAGCTTTTGCTCATGTTTCTGGCCTTTTTCTCCTTGTTTTCCCTTCATCTCTTCTGTGCTGTTGGCTTTACCGTGTGGCTAGCCCTGTTTGCTCTCTCAGACTACAAAGTGACCATGAGGACAGGGTTACTGAAGTTTAGGATGTTTCTTATTGGCAAAATACTTTCAGGTCTTTGAAATGAAAAGCTCTAAATGCTTTCACTTCCCCTATATCTTGCTTACTGCAGGATTTTACATGGCATGAGGATTATCAGTTTTCAAGAAAAAGTGTGGGAGAGATTACCCTAAAGTTTTCAGTCAGACACTAATAGAGCAATCAAGAGAGAAATGAGAAATTCTGACTTCCAGGCTTAAATCAGTGTGTACTGCCCCTAAACACATTACTTTCTTCTCTGCTTATAAACCTCTCATCAAGATTGAGGAAACTCACTAATATTGATTTGGCCTGGCATTGGGCGGAGACTTATTTTGTAACCTAGTGTTTGGTTGTGGTTTTTTTTCCCCCCCTTTTTGAGCTTTTCTTAGCAAACTTGTAGTGTGACCCAGAATGCTGGGAGAGTAATTAAGTAATAGAAACATTTCTGGAAACTTCAGGTACTTTTATAATATCCACAGTTTAACAATTTTTAACAATTGATGTGATATCTGTAAGTCATTTTTGCTTATTTATTAAAGCTGTTCTCACCAGGAACTCTAAGTCATCTGGCTCCCTGTATGTTAGATCAACTTAAAATCTATTAACTGCCTACTCTCTGTGAGCCAGTGTGATGAGAGAGTTACACCCATTATCCCTGATTCTCACAAGCATGCAAAGTAGGGCTTTACAGTTGAGGCTCTGAAAGGTTAAGTGACTTGTCTAAGGCCACATAGCCAAGAAGTAGTGGAGTAGTAGGAATTCAGTCCTAAAACTGGCTACAATGTGCTGCCTTCTATTAGTAAAGTTATATTTAAAATTTTTAATTTACTTCACTGATTTCTGTTGGCCCTCTGAATTGTTGTGCTTTGCAGTTCAGGAAAAAGCCTTGTGTGTTACCAGAAATGAGATGAATTTAGAAGCTCACATAGCCTTTCTAGTCTGGTATGTGCAACTGGAAGATAGGGTCATTTTAATGACTCTTTTTCAGAATTAATTATTTGTTGCAAGAAAGTAGAACACTTGACCTGTTTGTAAGTAATTATTTTAAAATTACTATGTAGTTACCATTTCACTTTCCTCAGCAGTGCAATTGTGTCATTTGTCTGGATCCAAATAGGAGAGACCTATGTTAACAACAAAACTAATTAGAACCAGCTTGGTCATTTTTTGTCGTTGTTGTTTAATGTTTATTTTTGAGAGAGTGGCGGGGGGAGGGCAGAGAGGGAGAGAGACACAGAATCTGAAGCAGGCTCAGGCTCTGAGCTGTCAGCACAGAGCCTGATCCAGGGCTTGAACCCACGAACTGCAAGATCATGACCTGAGCCGCAGTGAGATGCTTAACTAACTGAGCCACCCAGGCATCCCGTGCAGCCTGGTCGTTTTTAAACAGAGTGGGGGCTCTGGAACCATATAAACCTGTGTTCCATTCCCAGCTCCACTTTTACTGTGTGTTTTTGCTGATCAGTTAACTTCTCATGACTTCATTTTGTCAGCTGTAAAAAAACAAACAAAAACAAAAACAAAACCCTGACACCTGGCAGAGCTGGTGTGATGATTAAAGATAATGTATGTGGCACTCTTATCACAGTGCCTAACAGATAACAACAGGTAGTTATTTCTTCTGCTATATGTCATAAAACCCGTTTGGTACCTATAGTATCAGTGGTGCTGAATAATGAGAATAGTTAGCTCGACTTAGCTCTGGGAAAGAAAATGTATATATTCTATAGATAGTATCATTGAAGTGCCTTCTAATTATTTATCTGGTATTTGTTTTGGTGGGGAGCACCATTTCCTTGTGCTCTAAATCAGAGGAGATATATTTTAGATTAGTTTGCCAATAATTTGAGATACATAGAGCATGAAATATTTACTTAGAACAATAATATTATGTAGTACATGAAACACTTAGTTGGAATAAGGATATCATTCTTTTTTTTTTTTTAACGTTCATTTATTTTTGAGACAGAGAGAGACAGCATGAGTGGGGGAGGGTCAGAGAGAGAAAGGGAGACACAGAATCCGAAACAGGCTCCAGGCTCTCTGCACTGTCAGCACAGAGCCCGACGCGGGTCTCGAACTCACGGACCGTGAGATCATGACCTGAGCCGAAGTTGGATGCTCAACTGACTGAGCCACCCAGGCGCCCCTGGGATAGGATTCTTAATAGCTACCGACTGAGTACCTACTCTGTGCTGGATATTGTATAATACTTTAGGTGTTAGCATGGTGCCTGGCACATTGTGGGTACTCGTTGAATATATTATTGTTGTGTCTATTTATTAGATAGTATAGCATAATATTCATGATATTGTGGATATAAAATATATAATCCCCATCATAAGATTGATTCAAGAGTATTGTCCCCAGCTTACAACCAAAGAAACTGAGACTGTGAGAGAAATTGTCACCTTCCCAGGATTGTACAGAATAAGTGGTGAGGCTGAGCTTCAAACCAGGACCGATTCTTGGACCCTGGCTCTTTTCATCATGCCATACTCCCTTGAAAATGGGACTGGAGGGCTTATTGGCTTGGTTTAACAAAAGAAAACATACCTGAAAATGAAATGGCATGCAATATAGCTCCTACTAATGAGCTCAGGCTTCCTCTGCAATATAAGAAAACGTGTACTCCAAATACGTAAGAGAATTCTTCCACTTTTCCAAAGCTGCAAAAGCTACTCAGGTATGAAATTTATCTTAACTGTTAAAATTCTTTCAGTTTCGCCTTAACAGTAAATGCAGCTAGAACCGAGGTCCAAGTATATGCCACCTTCAAAGTCGTCTGATAACAACTGCTTAATATTAGACTGCAGCCATCTCTTCTTAATGGATTGTTGCTGCTGCATAAATTTTACTGATCCTTCTACTGGAAAGAAATGCATACCTTTGTGTTCATTGGTTGCTAACTGGTATATGCACATGCTGTTTGCTTCCTTATTAGGTGCCTGCCAATTTGTACACAGTGGATCACACAGTAAGTTGAGGGGGTTCCCCCACATGTACTGGTTTGTTTCAAATACTGTATATATTTCCTCTAAGAAAAACCTATCGAAGACATCATTAGTCTTATTAAGCAGCTAACATTTTCTGGTAATGAAAAATCTACCCTGTCCTGAGCTCCCATAGATATACAATGATGCCTACAACCGTTGTTTTGTTTTAAAAATCTGTTATGATTAACACTACTACCCTTTACTGAGAACCATTTGTGTCCCAGCCACTATACTAGGAATAGGTATCTTCCAGCATTGTTGAGGGGTTTGGAGATCATTTATAGCTATTATCCCCTTTTATGATGAGAAAACTGAGGTTTAAGTAGGTAAAGTAACTTCGGCGGCATCACTCACCCAGAGGATTTTAGTCCAGGTCTGGCTGATCCTAAAGGCCTTTCTCATATGCCACACTGTTGCTCTCGTTTGTGTTTTCAGTTAAAGTAAGCCAAGTTTCAATAACCCTTTCATGTAAACATTTTTATAGCTGTGTGCCTCACTTTGTGGGGGCCTTTATGACACTATTTGCTATGTGAAGCCAGTCATACTACTTTTTCTTGAGAAGCCTGATGATTTGTATAAATATTTATGTGGCAGAAGTATGCTATTCATCCTAAGGTACTTGCTCACTCATTTCCACCTCTGCTAAATTTCTGATGATGTCACTGTTGTTTTTATCTCCAATTTTTTCCCCATAAAATGTGACCTTGGAATATTGGAAAAAGGTGATACTTTTACCCAGTAGGCTTTTTTCTTGGGTGTCACTTTTAAAATAAGAAACTAAAGCCTCTTTATATGGCAAAGGTCTTGGGTATCAATCACCTGGCTCCTATCATATTTCTTTCAGTTATAAAATTTTATTGGACCGTTTATAATAAACCCTACTAACTTTGCTTTCTTTTTGACCTTCTTTTCCCTGAGAGAAAAGTACTGTTTTATTTTTTGGTAATCCTCCTTCTTCTTGAACTCCCTAGGAAGAGGAGTTGTATGCATGTCAGAGAGGTTGCAGGCTGTTTTCAATTTGTCAATTTGTGGATGATGGAATTGATTTAAATCGGACCAAAATGGAATGTGAATCTGGTAAGATGCTATGCTAATGATATCAACAATATATAACATTCTGCTTTCTTTGGGTTATGTTATGCTCTTTATGTCTTTTCCTCAGAAAATGGCAAGCATATTGTTTAAACTAATTTCGTGCATATTTTAATTATTATGAAGTCAGAGTTGTAGCAGCAGCTGCTAGAAATTTCACGGGCTTTAAATTTCATCTGTAGGAGTCCCCGCTGTATGAAAGTAGAGTGTTCCTATGAAACCTTTCATAAGCCACAATGGCATAAAGCAAAGCAATTCCCCTTAATTTACATGGAAAAATTTTTGAGTGCTTTTAGACCCAAAAAATAACCTCTCTTAGGCTTTTCTGATACTTTAGGACACATCTTGCTAACGGATGCACAAAATAAATCAAGATAAAACACAGATGCTCACACAGTTCAAAGCCATGGTGGCCTGACGCTGAGATGCTGAGCGTAGTTCCCAGGGAAGGAGGTTGGTGGTGCCGCTCTTGCTGCTTGAGCGTGCGCTGCCTCTGTGGGGGCTCACTACGGAACACTTGCTGGACGCTGTTTTCGCTTTCTTTTTTGAAAAGCACAAATCCTCTTTTGATTTCTTTTGGTTAGCAAAAATAGCTATGAACTTCCGAAAAGTAGGGGATACTTCTGTTTGTTGAGACAATATTTATTTTGTACTATGGATAGGACACCTTTGTTTAACCAAGCATTTGGTTTAAATGCAGTAGTAATTACCCTTCTCATAATTCATCACTACCTTCTCAGTGGATAGTATAATTTTCCAAAGCCTTTCAATCATAGGCCAGTTAATTTAGCTCCAAGTTTTTGTTTTTTTTTTTACTGAATCAGGCCTTTGACTCACTATTTAATAGTGTATTCTTTGTGGGTCATGCCGATAAAAGAAGTAACCAAAGTCTTTGTCATCTCTTAAACCACTGTTTTTACCTTTTGCTGAAAGAGATGTGTTTAATAAAAGAAGCCTGTAATCGAGACAAAACTGACATTTAACTTTTTAAAGAACTGTAATGGAATTTTCTCCATTCATTACATCATGCTGTTTCCTCAGTGTAGCAGGAAGTACCTCTCTTCTCCCTATCACTATGCCATGACTCCTATCCAGTCTCCTTGGTATCATAACCTTACTTTTTATGGCTCAGTCTCCTAACTGGCCATCTTTTTGTTTGCTTAGTGCAGTTCAGTTTATGATCTAACACCTTTGAGAAGTATATTACAAATGCATGACTGGGTTGGAAAGAAATAAAAGATTGTTATAGTGGTAAAGTGTTCTTTGTCACAGGAAAGAAATGGCTCTAGTGAGCTAAATGAGAGGGTATATACTCATTTCAACTTCAGAATCCTACTATAGAACATTTTCTAAGTTCAGTTTCTCAGAATTTAGGGTGTTAGGCTGATTGCTTTGTTTTGTTTTTCCTTGCCGTGGGAATACCCTTGATTCTTAGCGAAGTGATCTAATTCTTTACAGTAATATCATACATTTGTGTCGATCATTAAAATATATTGTTTTGTTCAACTCCATGAAGTAGGTGATGCTATTTCCATTTTAAAAATATAGAAGTCAATAGTTGGAGAGGTTAAACAGCACAGGCCAGGTCACATACACAGCCAAGTGTGTATGGAGCCAAAACTTATGCCAGACCAGTGTTTTTTCCACTTTACAGCCTTAGCTGTGAGGATTCCCTTATTATGAATGTTATCATATAGCCTGAGCCTGAGTGTGTAATCAGTAGATTTATACCCGAAACATCAGACATGTGAGAGGTAGAAGATATGGGGTTTATTAACAATAATATATTTGCTACTATTACCAAATTTGAGAATTCATATTGTGCTTTTTAAGTATAAGAAATTTTTATATAAAATGCCAAGTCCCTTCTTTTCTATCCTTCCCCCTTTTCTTTTCTTCCTTCTTTCTCCTTTTCTTCTTTCCTCTCTCTCTTTTTCCTTGTAATTTGACTGTTTTTCTCTTACAGCATGTACAGAAGCATATTCCCAATCTGATGAGCAATATGCTTGCCATCTTGGTTGCCAGAATCAGCTGCCATTCGCTGAACTGAGACAAGAACAAGTACGAAACAATACTGCCTTTCAAAATTGCCTGCTTAAATTGCACTGACTTGTATTGAAGTGTTTATCGCCCACTTGATACTATTTTAGTGTTATATTTTATAATTAGTTTTCAGCAAACAAATTGTATGTTTGCAAATAGAAAACTCAACTGCATAATTACTTTTGTATAATGCTTTACTGTTAAAAGTTCCAAAAGTTCTGTTCACATCCATAATCTCTTTTGTTTTTTCTCTCGGTCCACTATATTATCCCCATTCTGCATATGAAAAAACTGAGGCTCAGAGAAGTTGATAGTTCAGAGTCATTTTTTTCCACCCCAACTGCCATTGCCTTACTTCCTTAAATCATCATTATTTCTCGTCTGTATTACTAAGCTTCCAAACTATTTTCCCACTTTACCCGCTTCTAGTCCATCCTTTAGTCTTTGTTCAGATGTTTATTTTCTAAATGGAACTCTCATCATGTTATTCTCCTATATTATATTCTTCAGTACCAGTACCTCCCATTACGTACAGGAGTAAGTCCAAACCACTTATCACAGCCTGGCTCCTGATTTCCTCTCTTAAGTCATCTCTCTTCCCCACCCCTCATACTCTGTCCTCCAAACATACTGGAAAAAATTTGTTCAGAGGAAATATACTTACATGGTAAAGAACTCAAAAGGTAAAAAGAGTATGTAGTGAAATATCTCGTACCCCTGTATCTCTTAATCATTCAGTTTTTCTCCATTAATGTAGCAAGTGTTACCAAGACAGGTATTTTATGCATATACAAGGAAACAGATATTTCTTTTTTTAAAATACAAGTATACACAAAGAATGTCTAATCATTCTTTTTTTTTTTTTTTTAACTGCATAATCCATTATAGATGTGTCTATTTAAGCAGTCTCTTATTTGGAAATGTACCTTGTTTCTAATCTTTTTCATTTATAAGCGATGTTGCCTACTTTGCACATTTATACGAATAGAATAAAACCAGTCGAATTGCTGAGTAAGAGGTATCTATTTTTAATTTTGAGAAATAGAGCAAAATTGCTCTTTGTGGAATTTTACCAATTTTTTTTTTAATTTTTTTTTTCAACGTTTATTTATTTTTGGGACAGAGAGAGACAGAGCATGAACGGGGGAGGGGCAGAGAGAGAGGGAGACACAGAATCGGAAACAGGCTCCAGGCTCTGAGCCATCAGCCCAGAGCCTGACGCGGGGCTCGAACTCACGGAGGACCGCGAGATCGTGACCTGGCTGAAGTCGGACGCTTAACCGACTGCGCCACCCAGGCGCCCCGAATTTTACCAATTTTTTAACTCAAGGTATAATTCACATACTATAAAATTCACCCTTCTAAAGTATTCAATAGTTGTTAGTATATTCACAAAGTTATGCAACCATCATCACTATCTAATTCCAGGAATTTTTATCACCCCAAAAAGAAATCCCATACCCACTCCTTTCCTCCTTCCCCCCTTCCCCGACTCCTGAAAATGTACCACTTTTAAGGTAGTTTAAATTTATGTTTCTCTTATTATGATTAATGTTAAACATGTTTTCTAATTTTTAAGAGTCATTTTTTTTCTCTTAATTGTATACGTAGTGGACAGTTCTTAATTTTTACAGTACGATGAGTTATTACGTGCTTCTGTTTCTTCTACTCTCCATCCTTCTATTGAATCCCCTTGATTCAGGGCAGGTGTCATTTCCTGTGTGAAGCCTTAACCACTTCTCACTCTGGTTTGGGTTAGGTGCCTCTCTCCATATACATGTATTACCCTATTTTTAACCTCTGTCCTATATAGATTACACAGATTAAACACAGGTGTACGTTGATGTATAAAATACACATGGTCCCTGATATCCTAAAATTTATAATCTCAGTGAATACTTGTTTGGTGAATTAATCAATGAAAGATTTCACAGCTATTAGTGGGGAAATTGGATCATGAATATAGGTCTTTTGATTCTAAAAACTGATCTCTTACCCCGTAATGCCTCTCTTGAAATACAGCAGAACGAAAGCTATCTCTAGAGTTCAGCAAATGGTATCTCATACTCGTGCTCTAGAGGGGCCCACTGCTGCTAATAAATAAGCAAAGAAGTCAGAACTGGGGGAATGAGGACATGAAACCAATTAATGTTAAAATGAGTAGCTTATATATTAGGAGCTGAATATATATAGCCCATAAATACTCCCCTCACCCTGCCCTATTATCAGATGTCTTACATTTTATGCATATATTCTTTTGATTGATTTTTTTTCCTTCCCCTTTTCCATCAGCGTTCATTGTAGAATGATTTATTTTAAATTTTTTTAATGTTCATTTATTTTTGAGAGAAAGAAAGTGCATGCAAGTGTGAGCAGGGGAGGGGCAGAGAGAGAGAGAGAGAGAGAGAGGGAGACACAGAATCTGAAGAGAGAGAGAGACACAGAATCTGAAGAGAGAGAGAGAGAGAGACACAGAATCTGAAGCAGGCTCCAGGCTCTGAGCTATCAGCACAGAGCCCAATGCAGGGCTCGAACTCACAAATGGTGGGATCATGACCTGAGCTGAGGTCAGATGCTTAACTGACTGAGCCACCCAGTCGCCCCTAGAATGATTTATTTTACATGAAAACATGTAAGATGAGGATGGTATAATTTCTCCCTCCCCCTTCTATCTCTTGAGTCCTTGCTAATCCTTTTTTAATCAAATCTTAAGATTCTCCAAAATGTATTTTGGGACCTAATTCAAAAGCCTGATAGAGGTGACAGGTAGTTTATATGTGTGTTTGGTGATAAAGTAGCCTGGGATATTAAGCTTTATCACAGTTAATTTGCATAGATAACTAAGAGTTTAATGCTAGTAGAATCACTTAACTTTTTATTCTCTGTCTCAATCAGGATTTGAGGAATGTTGATTAAGTTTGTTCTCTTGAATATACATATATAAAAATAATATATGATTTTATTTTATTTTTTTGAAGCTCATGTCCCTGATGCCAAAAATGCATCTACTTTTCCCTCTAACTCTGGTAAGGTCATTCTGGAGTGACATGATGGACTCTGCACAGAGCTTCATAACCTCTTCCTGGACTTTCTATCTTCAAGCTGATGATGGAAAAATAGTGATATTCCAGGTAATGACTATGCTTCATAGATTCATCTAAATACTGACAAGAGTAAATGTATATGTCTTAAATGAATGTGTTGGCATAGCGCCATATACATCATCAAATAATAATTACTAATTTGACCTACATTAAAACATTGGCCATCAGGGCACAGTGTGACTTACTCTTCTCTCTATCCATTGGAAGCCTGTGGAAGCCCCGCTGATCCTTATCTAACAAGAATTCTGAGTCTTCTAAATTTTATAGTGGTTAAATTGATGAAATGAAACCACTAGATATGAGAAATAATAATAAATATACTTTGAATGTAAATAATGGCATGTCTGTATATCACATACGGATATTAAAGAAAAGCAATATGACATAATTATTAGCTTTTATTATAGTGCTTTTTCTCATAATTCTTGTAAGAGCTTGTTAAAGAAGCATATTGCCTCCTAGAGAAGTAACTTTTCTCCTACCTCATTATTTACCATGTGATGTGATGATAATAGCTGCTTTTCTTGAAGGTTCTTAGGTACTAGGCATTTACATATATTATCTCAAATCTTTGCATACCTTCCTGAGGTTGTATTATCCCTATTTTATTGATAAGGAAATAGTCTAACTTTTTAAGATCACCCTGCCAGTAGGTAACAGAATTAGACTTAAGACAGGTCACTTTTCGCTCTCAGGCACATATCACACCCTACGATGCTATCTTCCTTTTTTTTTTTTTTTTTTTTTTAATTTTTTTTTTTTTTCAACGTTTATTTATTTTTGGGACAGAGAGAGACAGAGCATGAACGGGGAGGGGCAGAGAGAGAGGGAGACACAGAATCGGAAACAGGCTCCAGGCTCCGAGCCATCAGCCCAGAGCCCGACGCGGGGCTCGAACTCATGGACCGCGAGATCGTGACCTGGCTGAAGTCGGACGCTTAACCGACTGCGCCACCCAGGCGCCCCGATGCTATCTTCCTTTTAATTTGGTACTTAAATTCCTCAAATGTACCACAAACTATGTTGTGGCACTTTACCCCATGTAATAAAGTAAACGTTTTAATATTGCTAATAGAATGGCTCACTGTAAGGCTACCATGTAATTTTTAGCACTATCCTGAGTCTTGGGTCCTCTGTACATAATTTGGTAATAAGTAAAACACAAAAGGACTTTTTTCTCTTTAAATTTGTGAATAAGTTCTGTGTCCTAAAGCTAATTAGCTTTTAAAGCTTGAGTTGAAATGTGAGAGTAGAGCCCTCATTCATTCCTGATTGGATGTGAGATTAGCTTTGTTTCTTTGTATCAAGTGTAACTACAATGGAGAAACCCCCACTCCAGGGGGTCTGTGCTCCATAGAGGATGTAAAGTATGGAGTGTTTAGCTATAATGTATGAGTTACTCATACTGAGGGAAGAATGGAATGTTTCAGATGAGAAAAATAGAGATAATACTAGTGTAGCCCAAAATTTCAGCAGCCTGCTAAATTATTCTTTTTTCAACTAGAATTAGAACTCATTTTTGCAGGGTATGATATTTAATGCAGTATGTTGTCATTTGTCCCTGCTTTTTAATTTTTTTAATGTTGTCAGAAAGTTAAACTGACTAGATACTTGATGATGCCAGAAATCTGTCTGTTTCTTTGCAAGGCACTCGATCTGATGTTTAGGAAGTGCAATTAAAATATATTGTGGTAAATGTGTTTTATTTTTTATACCATACTTCTGTTACTTTTTCTCAATTCGAATGTTTATACAGATGATGTGTTATAGAACTTGTTACTTAGAAAAGCATAAGAAGTACAAATGGCTTAATTGCTTTCATTATCATTTTAGTCTAAGCCAGAAATCCAGTATGCACCACAGTTGGAGCAAGAGCCTACAAATTTGAAAGAATCGTCGCTAAGCAAAATGTCCTGTAAGTTTTATTTCCAGTAGCTTGGGATAACAACATTAGCAAATCTGGTTGTGGTCTGGAATTAGTTGTATGATTATTCTTACACTAGTAGAAAGTGAACAAATAACTCTTAAAGAGTGGTTCTCAAACTTTAGCTTGCATTAGGATCTGGAGAGCTTGTTAGAACAGATTTCTGAGCCCCACTTCCCAAGTTTCCAATTTACTAGATCTGGGATAGGACCTGAGAATTTGCATTCCTAACAAGTTCCCAGATTTTGTTGATGCTGCTGGTCAGGAGATCACACTTTGAGAACCAATAGTATAAAAACATGTAATTGGCTTTGAAGGATATTTTGACTATAAACTAGTAAGATATTGTGATATTTCGTAATATGCTAACCAAACAGTGAAATCAGCCTGAAGGTGTGAGTTCCTGTTCTATTTACTTTTAGACTAGAAATAAATTTTAACTTACAGGAATATAAAACATCAACCTAAAGCTGAGCTCACCTTTTAAAATGTACTGGCTCATACCTTATTTTAGATACTGATTTAATTAATTTTCTAATTATTTTGTAATTAGAATTAAACAGAATGTAATTAAACAGAAAGCAACGTCAGTAAGAATTTGGAAATAAAATAGGAAATCCATAACGTGGTAGAATATCCATTTGGTTTTTAATGTGCCGGAGGAACTTGCATTCATTATCAACGTATCAGATTACACTTATAAAAACAACTGGGTGTCTGTACAGTGAATGTATCTATGGGTAGTCATCTGAGGCTAGCCCTTGGGATACAGGATGCCATAAATTGTACCTTGTTATTTCAGCAGATCTGCAAATGAGAAGTTCTCAAACACATAGAAACTATCTTGAAGATGGAGAAAGTGATGGCTTTTTAAGATGTCTCTCTCTGTACGTATTCCTGTTTATTTATATGTAGAGGAGATAGAATCTGGCTTGTAGCAGATGCATTCCTTTTTATTATTTTAAAATTATATTTGGGGTACCTGGGGGCTCAGTCAGTTAAGCATCCACCTCTTGATTTCAGCTCAGGGCACGATCTCCTGGTACATGAGATCGAGCCCTGCATTGGGCCCTGCACTGACAGCGCAGAGCCTGCTTGGGATTTTCTGTCCCTCTCTTTCTGCCTCTCCCCACTCGTGCGCACACACACTCTCCCTCTCTCTCAAAATAAATAAGTAAAATATGAAAAAATAAAATTATACAAGCTGCTCAAAAGTAAGAAACTTTTTTAAAACCCTTTTCCTACCAAACTTGTACTTTGGGATATTTTAGTTTGTTTAAAAGGTAATATACTACTGTAATAAAACCCAAGCAGGTAGTTTTTTTCACAATACCAAAGCATTTTTGTTCTTGTTAAGATTCCTTGATTTATTATGTTAAGAAATGTGCTTCTCCAGATGTTTAAAATAAGCTTTAAAGTATGTCTGAATGGTTTGGGGTTGGATTTTGTTTCTATCTACATAGCCATCTGGGGCACCTGGGTGGCTCAGTGGATTAAGCGCCTGGCTTCGGCTCAGGTCATGATCTCACAGTTTGTGAGTTCGAG